AAGTACACAACCAAAAATTTTCCCGTGAAGGGGCGGAGTACTTGAGTCATCACTCTAATAAAAGTGCTCGGAGCGTTAGTTAACCCAAAGGGCATGACCATCTATTCGTACAATATCTTTCGTCTTAAAAGCGGTTTTCCATTCGTCACCAGGACGGATGTGAATTTGATGGTAGCCACTCTTAAGATCAATCTTAGAGAAAATGGTGGCTCCAGACATTAAGTCTAGCATGTCATCCAACCGGGGAATGGGAAAACGATATTTCACCGTGATCTTGTTGATTGCACGACTATCCACACACATACGCCATGTGCCATCTTTCTTAGGCGTCAGTGATGCGGGAACCGCACAAGGGCTCGTGCTTTCTTTCACAAAGCCTTTCTTCAACAGCTCATCAACTTGCCTTTTCAGCTCTGCATGCTCATTGGGGTTCATCCGATAGTGAGGCAAATTGGGAAGGGTTACTCCCGAGACTAAATCAATTGTGTGTTGGATATCACGCATCGGGGGTAATTGGTCCGGGAGGTCCTCAGGGAAGACGTCAGAAAATTCTTCTAACACAGTAGCGACTTCTGGGGGAACCGCGTTAGAAATATCCTTCGGAGCTTCTCTAGCGGCGAGGGCGAAAATAGGAGCTCCGTTGGCCAATTCACGATTAATCTCTTTGACTCCAATCAGGTTAACGCCTTGGGAAGACTTGTTTGGATCAGGCTTCTTTTCATTTCCTTTTGGTTAAACCGGAAGGATCTTGACCTTCTTCTCGTCGTGCTCGAACAATAGCATGTTGGATCGCCCGAAGATATGAACGTCGTTATCAAATAATCAGGGCCTTCCAAGAATAACCTGACCCACATCCATTTTCAGAACATCGCACCAAACTTTGTCCTTATAAATGGCAAATTGAAGAGGGACTAAACATCTCTCTTGGACATTGAGTGCGGTGTCGTTAATCTATGATACCTTGTATGGATTAGGATAGGGTACAACCTTAAGACCAAGCTTAGCGATCACAGCTGAGGAGATCGCGTTAATATAACTTCCACTGTCCACGATCACTTTATAATTTTTATCACCAATCTTTGTGAACGTATGGAAAATGGAAGTACGTCTCCAATCATCAACAGCCTTGGGTTGAGAGATGACGCATCTGACAATTGAGACGGTAGGAGTTTCAATTTGTCTAAGACAACCTAAGATAGTATCATCTGCATCATCCTCGAAATCATCGGTATCATCGTCAACTTGATGGACAAACTCGTCACTGTCAGGTTCAGGTTCGTATTCGTATTGTCCATCGATGATAGCAACCTTGTGACGGGTTGGACAGTTCGCAGAAACATGCCCATACCCATGGCATTTGTAGCACTTGACGTGAGCGCCAATCTTGGAGAAATCTTTCTCCGGTTCCTTGCCTTTGGGGTCGACTTTAGACTGGGAAGAACTGAGGTTAGATCGACCCGGAGGATGACTAGAAGTAGAGGCACGGGAAGATTGGGAAGAATGAGCTCTGAAATCCTGACTCCTATAAGATTGATGAGATTTGGCTTCATCTAGGTCTTGAACTAATGCGTAAGCTTTCTCGAGGGTGTCTACTCCTTTAGCAAAGAGATCGGTTTGCAGATCGTTTCTTAATCTAGCTCTAAATTTCGACAAGACTTTCATTGGCGCCTCTTGTTCAATGGTGTTGCATCGAGTGAACAGTTCGTCAAATTGTGCAACGTAGTCTTTCGCAGATTTGGCTCCTTGAGTGAGACGATGCCACTTATTTAGCAATCAATGATAAAATGATGGCGAAAGGTATTTCTGTTTAAGTTCGTTGGTCATTTCTCGCCAAGTGGTAATCGGTAACTCACCTCTAATGTGTCTCAACGTTTCGAGGTTGGTCCAATATTGGCAGGCAGGTTCGGTAAGTTTCATGGCGGCGAACTTGACCTTTCGGGGTTTCGTCAGGGCGTACCAATCAAAGTAACGATCCATGCTTTTCAGCCAGTCCAAGAAAGCTTGTGGGTCGAGCTTACCATCAAAGGTAGGTGCATTGACCTTAATACTCCTCAGGTATTGCGCATCCGGATCAGGTACATGTTGATCTAGGGGGCGCTGAACGATGTTTCCATAGCCTTGACCTTGTAGCGGTGGGGCGATATGTTGATAACCTTGATCTTGCGGCGGCAGGGTTGCAATACGTGTTTCCTCGATCCTAGCGAGCCTTTCATTGGTAGCTCTACTCTCTTGGGCTAAGTTACCTACTGTTCCTGCTAGCTCAGCGATTTGCTTAATTTCGGAGAACTTAGGATTTGCACTGCCTGACATGCTGGACTCACTAATTGATTCACTTGACTCTCCTAATCGATAGGGTAGACCCGTGCGAGTGAGCATGCACTAACAACTAGATGATATGAAATGGTGCACAAAAATTAAATGAGATGACTGATTTTTTTTTATAATAAAGACTCAACAAATTTAAAATTTCCTAACCTAGAACCATGCTCTGATACCAAAAATGATGCGAAACAATGTAATGCAGGTACGAAGATTGACAACAATGCTTCGCCAAATCAGCGATCGAACTAAGCAGGAAATTCAAGAGTGAAATGAAGCGAACGATGGTTTTTAAGCAAAAATTACAATGTAATACCTTTGTAAAATTATTCTGATAAATAATGTAATGATTCGTTCTCTTAATACAGTTCAAATTATAATATTTAGAGAAACAGAAATACTTAGCAACAGATTCATTCGCTCACTAATCAAACTGAATACAGCACAAGCACAATCGATAATAATATTGATAACAACATGCATGCAACAGCAGTTCCAAAAATATTTGGGCGAAAGAAAGTTAAACCTTCGTCGGGTTGAACTGGATCGACGGGAGGCTCCTCTGGAGGTGGTTCGTACACGCCGAAGATGAGGGGAGGAAGTTCTCCTCCGAGAGCCACGTAATTGGGATGAAGTGGTGCGTCTGGATTGAAACGCCTATGAAACGAACTGATGCCTAACTGGGCTTCCACACTTCTGACAATCTGATGAGTCACACGTTCGACGTATTCGGGCACAGTCTTGAACGTCTGATAGTCGAACTACGGGGAAAGCTGTAAATCAACTATACCAGTCTCTGGATCAAGCACGAACTCGTAGTCTTCAGCGTCAGGATCAGCCATGCACCAATGGCCAACAAAATCGGACTATAACTATGCTTCAGCAGATCTGACAATACGAATGGGTCTAAACTGAAACAAATCTGAACCAACTTAGATCCGGTTCAAATCTGAACCAAAATAAACCAACCAAATAAATAGGGGCCTGAACAAATTAGATCAGATCACAATACTCCTCCTCTTCACTCGTTCTGAGGAAAGAAGAAGACGCGACAGGGGAAGGGGGACAGGCGGGCGACGGA